ATAATCTATATAAAATATAAATAAAATACCTAAAATATAAAAAATTTAAAATTTATAGGATGTGACCGTACACTCTAGCTCCATCTCTGGTCTTATGTGTTCATTTCTCTTTACTTGAAATTTCTTTTATTCACCGTCATTAAGGCTTTGCTTGGAATGAAGAATGAAAATTAGGATGGAAAATTTGTTAATTATATAGTTAAGATTCAAAATTAAAATAATAATTATGAATCATAATTATCTTCGGTTGGTGACATGGTCCGAGCGTGTTTTGGATGACTCTAGCTTCTTCTGCCACATCGTTACCCTTCTCCCTTGTTGTTCCCATTGCTCCAGCAATGATTCTTCGCCTTTACTTCAACATTACAGCTTCTCATGTTCTCACACACAGCCAACTTACACAAAATTAACTCATTCAAGCAATTGAATACACTTATTAAAAGCCTAACTTATAATGCAAAATTAATCACTGAATGAACTTAAAGGACATTTAAATAACTTAGAATAACCTAGACCCGGTCTATGCGTTTCGACTAAGTCTAGTGGATCACATTATGATTCTTAAAGACATTTTTTGAAACCGTTATTCAATCAATGTAAAATCACATTATAAATGTCATGAAATAAATTATACTATCAAAACCCAACTTGTAAATATAATATCAATAAGTAATAAATTAATTTAAAACATGTCTTCAAAATCAAAATCACAATAAACCGAACAGTAATAGCAAAAGTGTCATCATCCTAAAATACGATACTTTAAAATAAGGTCTATGTCACCAAAATAAAGTCAACTAGCAAGATAAAACATTACAATCAGATATACTTCAAGAGATATGTTGATCCTCCAAGTGCTCGAACCGATGTATCTAACCAACAGTATTTGAAAGGGAGAAAAACATTTTCGAAAAGTGAGCTAGGCTCAGTGTGTCCCAATATTACCTTAAAATCACAATAGGTACATTAAACAAATCATAGTCTAGTAAATCTCATAAATTCATAAAAGAGTTTAACTTTTGAAAATCATAGTTTAAACTCTTTTTTTGTACACCATCAGTAATTTCCAAAACTATTTTCCATATAGCTTACTCTAAGCACACAGCAAAAAGAAAGTCAACCTAAGGATAAGCTTTAGAGCTTGTATCCTTAAGCCCGTAAGTCCAAGTCCATATAGCTTACCCTAAGCACACAGCAAGGGAAGCCAACCTAATGCATCTTGGGGCCCCAAGAGTCACATTAGGCTCATTCTGTTTATTAGCTTGATCAGAGTTATACTATTGTAATTCAATCCAAAAGTTCAATTGCACCGTGACACAAATTCCATAAATCATCACATTAAATTGGTGCATCAATAAAATAGTAACCAAAGAACTCAGTGTACCTCATATTAAAACCAATAAAACAGTTCAGTAATAATTAGGGAACACACCTCGATAATAGGTTCAAATAGTAGATCTACTGATTGCTGGTTTCACCACGCTCTGCTACAGTTTTCGAACCTATTTTATAATAACACTATATTACTTATGGGTAACATAAATAAATCTCTAAAATCATAAAATTTACGGGTCTTACGGGTGAATACTGGCACACGTGGTTTAATTGATCTAGAAGAGCTGGGTCGAGCTGTCGAACGATCCGGAGAGTCTCTTGTACCTTCAAACAATAATAATTTATCAGCCCCAAATCTTACTTAATTGTTCAAAGCTAAATTCTTAAGTATATAAGCATTTTCAGGGTTTGACTATCAATTTGGAGGATTTTGGGTTTGAATTTGGCTAAACGGATTGCGGAATCGGAATCAGGACGTCGAAAAACATAAAGTATGTCTTTTCAAAAATTTAAATTCTTGGTCAAAGTCAAAGTCAACCACTTTGACCGTCGATTTGGAGGCCTTCGGGTTTGAATTTGACGAAACGAACTTCGGAAACGGATTCGGGACGTCTAAAACTATCAGAATATGTATACTCAGAAAAGATTAACGGTCGTTTAATGGTCGGTCAAAGCCATTTTAAGTTTTGGTCAAAGGAAGTCAACGGTCAACGGTCGGGTCGGGTCAGGTAGATCGGTCGGGTCGGGTCAGACCGGTTCAGACCGGTCAAACCGGTTTTCAGCCACTCACTCTCCCTGCGGCGGCGCTTGTGGCGCGTGAGGCCTCCTCCGGGGGTCTAAAAATTACGGAAAAATTTCTAAAAATTATTTTGAGCGATTTCGAGATACTTACAAAGATCGGTTCAAATTTTTGAACGGTGAAGAGCTCAATTTCAACTCGGCCGAATCTTTGACTGCTCCACCCCCTCACGCGCCGCCGTCGACGGAGACCAAGGTTGACACCGGCAGAATCGAAACGGCACAAGGAACATAATGGTGCAGGAGGTGTCGAAAACCGATCAACGATCGGAGATGAATTTAAGATTTTCTTGGCGGTAGTGCTAAAAAAAACGTCGAGACTTTGACTCAAAATTCACGTCGTTTGGCAGCGTTTCGCTATAATTGATTTACTGGGTTTTGTTCACGGGTCGAAGATGAACACGACGGTGGTTTCAATTTTACGATTGGAGGTCGAACGGCATCGGGATCTAAGTCGGAAACCGACGTAGGGGGAAGGGAATTTGGGAGCAATTGAGGTGTGGTTTTCTGTTTTGAAACAGAAAACCACGTTTATAACATAACATACCTAATTTTTTTGAGTAAATTCAGGGTTTGGTCTCTGAATTTTTTTAACTCTAAAACAAGCTACAAGTTTTAAAATCTTTCAATTTAGTCACCACAATTTATCGATTTTCATAATTAAAACCTCCAATTTCAATTAAATATTATTTTAAAAATTTCCGGGTTATTACATAATACACTTATTAAAAGCCTAACTTATAATGCAAAATTAATCGCTGAATGAACTTAAAGGACATTTAAATAACTTAGAATAAGATGTAAATGATGAAGAGAGTTATAATGTATCATATAGTTATATAAGGGAAGTAAAGCATCACACTTATGAAAATCATGAAACACTTTAAAATTAGGATATACTGCTTTTACTGGCCTTAAATCCAAGCTGTTAGCCTTTTCCACAAAGACGGATAGTCCCAATCACCATAGCCCCAAATTAATTATCTTCGATAATACAAAAATTTACCAATTATTGAATAATAATTTAAGGGAATCAATTGATAAAATTAAATCATTTAAATCATTTAATTAGGGAACCAATTATTTTTTTGTAGTTTTGGAGAAATTTGTTTTTTTAATATATATATATATATATAACAATATTTTTAAAAAATAAAATATAAATTTTAAAAAAATATAAACGCAATATGTGTCGTCGAAAATGTTTGACGCCACGAATTTTATTATGGGTGAATTCATCAGTCAGCTGAGCTAAACCTTTAATTATTATGGGTGGATTTTTCTAGGAATAAAAAAAGGGGCTGGAATATCCAATTTAGAATGCAGAGACGAGCCGATAACGGTACAAGAGAGCGGTCCCCTTGTGTCTTTGCATGTTTATCTTTGGTTGCAGAGAGACTTCGAGTGTCATCAAGTTCTTGTAAGAACTCTTGCCCATACTTCCATGGCCGATTGTTGTTCCGACAATAAATCTTTTTGCCCTTCCCTCAATCTTCTTAATTTATATGTTCTCATATAATTTTCCACTTCTTTCTTCATGCATCATCAAGGATTGGAGTATTTATCATTTACTCAACTTGATTCAAATAAATCAGTAACTATATAAGAACAAATTATTTATGCTGAGTTCTAAATTGCTAAACACCCTAAGATGCACTTGTCAGAAATATTTTAGCTTTCTGTTTTTAATACTCAAAGAAATATGCTGTCATTTGCTTTCTTCTTTCTTTACTTGATCTTAACGAAATAAGAAAATGTTGTTTTTTCTAAAAGTTTTGGATTCGTGTAATTGTATATGCAAAGTGTGTATGAGTTAGATTATAAAAGATTTTAAACATATATTACTTTATAATCATCCAAACTATTCAGAAAAAAAGTATTTTGATGATGATTTAACTTAGGATATCTAACTTAGGATTTCATTGGACCAGAAGGCAGCCAATGTGTAGAGAGTGTATTAATTACATGTAGCTGAAAATGAAGATAATATCAGATACACACAAGGTTCAGTCACATTCACTCTCCAAAACTCAACTACAATAATGCAAGGGAAACAGGACCACCAGCTAAGAAAGAAAAAAAGTTATGGTTCTGCAATAAATATTATAAAAAAGAGCCCAAGAATGATCATTTTGACAGATGGTTCCTGATTTGCTTGTTCTGTTAAAGCTATGTCCATTTTCCCATGAGAAAAAGGGCGTGTGGCTGAATGCAACACTCACGTGCATGCTTTGTTTAAAAAGCAAAGCTCCATTGGGAGATAGCGAGAGAGGGTGTGGGTTTCAAAGTTTCTGGCTTTCTGCCCCAAAGTTATCTTGATATACCACCAATAGAAATGCAAGTTTACGCATCACCAATCACCGTACAACTTCATCTATTATGGAATTTTCTTTTATAGAAAAAACGGATAATAAGATAATATCTATTTAAAAAATTTCTTAATTATTAATAATGTATATACATCTTATAATACAGTTGTTCGACCGGATGTTTCATAGCAACACTCTTTTGAAGTCTCTTAATAGATTTTTTATTAGGGGATTAAAATGAGTGGGAAAAGGATAAGTGAGTGAAATTTTGCATTGTATTTTTTCACCAAAATGGACCGAGAAGATAAAACATCAATTTTTTTAAAATTGATTATTAGCATTCAATTTATTGATTGATTAATTTAGATTAGATTTTGCAGATGTTTATTATAGGATGCTCCTTTCACCTCAGTTTGCTCCATTCACATGATTAGAGTTCGAACATATGACCTTACTTAATAAACATAAATCTTACTAGACCAACTGGTTTTTGGTAACACCAACTTCTTAATTTCACAAAAAGTAGAAAACTTAAAGTTTCTTCTTCTTCTTTTTATCTTTCATAAGGAGAAAATGAAAGCTCTGTTGACATTTACTCCCTAAGATGAACTGATAAGGAAATAGTAGAAAAAAGAAAGTCATTTTAACGACTACTTTCTTTTCCATTCTAAACTTAATCCTCTCTCTCTCTCGGCGTCTCCACTTCATATGCAAATTGAATAGGTTGGTATGTGCTTGCCTCTCACTTCATAATGCTTCAAGTTCAAATGAATTTCTATGTTCATCAGGCGTCCACAAGCTTCTGTTTTTGTTTGCATGCATCCATTTAGCACCATCTTATACGGTTCTACAAGAAAAGTTCCCAAATTAGAAATTAAGCACTTTGGTAGTTATACAATTCTTTTACTCCCTTTTCCCCATCATTTTCCCTTCTCTTTCTCTATTAAATGTTATAGTTCTCATTTTAGTTCATTCTGATAACACTTTTTGGCCATTTTCTGAGTTTTGTCACAGTTTGCAGTTCCAAAGTTTATTGTTTTTACTTTCTGTGAACATGGCAAGAATGGGAGAAAGATTGGTGCTCTCTGTTTCGAAGGCAGTGAACCATTAGGAGCCTGGAAAGGAGAGTTTACTTGTGTCTGATTCTACAATGTCTGTTCCTCTTGCTCCATATCCAACACCTCCAGACTCATATACTCCTGCCAATGGTATCTTGTTCTGCTCTGCAATACATTTATCAACAATTCGAATTGTATTATTGTTTTGTTGCTCAAATGAACCTTCTTAAGAAACTTGATTAGCTGCATCCGCTATAGCGATAGGAGCATTAGGCTTGGCAAATCTAAACAGAATTCTTGATTATCTTGTTCTAACAGGCTTGACCACATCAACAAATTAATAATATGAAACTATCCACTCTGCTATCCATTTTTGAACTGATCTTATTGCTAAATCTATGTCAGCAGGTGCTCAAAGCCAGCTGGTATGTTCAGGATGTCGAAATCTATTACTCTATCCAGTTGGAGCAACCTCAGTATGCTGTGCTGTTTGTAATGCAGTAAACGCTGTGCCACCTCCTGGTACATCATCTGCTATTTACTTCACAACATTTTTAGCTTATGTTTCAAGTTATTCCCTTGTATGTTAAATGAACAAAAACTGGGAGAAAATGACTACAGGCACAGAAATGGCTCAGCTGATTTGTGGAGGCTGCCATACATTACTAATGTACATTCGGGGAGCCACAAGTGTTCAATGCTCATGTTGCCACACTGTCAATCTGGCCCTGGAAGGTACACGTAAACAAGTACGATGTTTATCTCTCTCAAAGCATTATTAAGATAGGAAACCTTGTCGATTAAAGCTTCCTTCGTTTTCGACAGCAAATCAGGTGGCACATGTAAATTGTGGGAACTGCAGAATGTTACTAATGTACCAGTATGGAGCACGATCTGTGAAATGTGCAGTCTGCAATTTCGTCACATCGATTGGGGTCAGTTCACAATATTTGATTCACAAGGAGTCCCATCTTTTATAAAAGTCTTCATTGGACGATGCAGGGATCAGCAAGTGCTGCACCAGAACACAAGTTCAACAGCTAGAAATAGCTTTACAGTTGAGAAATTACAACTTTGGTTTTTTCACATTACAAATATCCTCTTCTACTGGTGCATCCCTCATCAACGTAGGGGAAATTTCATCCTTGCATTTGTATAGAGTGTTTTGTGCTTTGCTTGCGTAGCATGTTTCTGAATAAGCAGTTTTGGCAGCTGGTTGGACTTTTTTAGGTTGAAAAATGGATTATGTTATGATAAGATAAAGACTTCATTTTTCTTTTACTTTTCTATGTACGAGTAGCATTAAATACAAGGCATTGAAGCTTATCTCCCATACTTTTCTTCTTCTTCTGCTTACTTGTCAATGGTTAGAGTCTATCCAATTTAACAAGAGCAACTACTCTCACAATTGTTGCAACCTCGTTTCACACACCAACAGTGACAAAAGCAAGATTTTATGTTAGAGTGATGAACTTATAAAATTTTATAAGACGAAATATATTATTAATAGAAAATAAGTAAAAAATATAAAATTTAAGAGAATTTGAAAATTTCAAGGGTGATTGCTCCCACCTACCCTCCTCAGTCCATCGCCGCACACAAGGTATCTTCCATCTGAAAGTGTTTTCAACTCTCTGGTTATGCACTCATAAGTTTGCATATGAAAAAGAAAATCCTCAGAAGAACAAACAATATACTAAGAGTTAATGTTGTTTAGTTTTTGGTTTAAGGTACAAAAATTATAAAAGATTATTCAACAAATACAAAGTGATAAGGATTAAAAATCACATTTCGAGTATATCATTCCACTAAATTTTTATTAGAAAGAAAATTATAGTAGTCAATCTTAACATTTTACTTATTAAAAAAATTCCAAAAAATTGAACAAATTAACATGAATTTACCTTTGTTTATGAAAAATAAATAAAGGCAAGGGTAAAAGAATTAGCTTTAAATATATTAAATTAAATTATTAATTCTTAAAGGACCCAAAATATATTTTTATTTAGTTAAAAGGTTGTCAAAGATCAAATTGAATTAATAAATTGTTAAGAGGACTAAAAGTATAATAATATATTTATTTTTTAAAATAAAAATTTTAATTTTAAGATATTTTTATAATAATATCAGATACTTTTAATTAATATTATATTTTTAAAATATTTTTTAAAACTCAACTGCAACAAAAACTGATGTTTAAAATTGTTTTTGTTCCTATATGTTGTAACAACTATTTGCACTAAATATACAAACATCTACCGCGGCGAGATGTTAGATTATGTTTCCATGAAGATTATATACTCAATCATGTATTATATTTAAATTATATTTAAATTTAGAGTAAAGTATATAAATTGTCTCTCGACTATTAAAGTTACAAAATGATTACTCAAATATTTTTTATATTTCAAACTCGTCCTTTCTCTTTAAAAAAATGACGATCGTTTGAGCTAAACGTTAACATGTTGACTGAGATATGATAAAATGAATAGTCGGGTGATCATTTTGTAACTTTTAATAGTCAAGGGACTCAACAAAGCAACACCTTATACTCTATGAACCATTTTGTAACTCTTAATAATACAGGGGCTCAATAAAGTAATATCCTATAGTCATGGAATCATTTGTGTATTTTACCTTTAAGGTTTTTAAATAAAAGTTAAATAATTAAATTTAATAAAAAAAATAACTTCACTCTCTAATAATTGAAACTATTAAATTTAAAATTATAAAATATAAAATGTAAATTTTAGAAATTTAATCATAATTAAATAAAAAAAGTTATTTATAAAGTAATTTGATGAATTAACAGATTCATAGAATTATAATTTTTCAAAAAAAAAATTATAATTTTAAAAATAATTTATGAATTCTCTATATTTTTAAAAAATGATTTTTAGAATTATTATTTAGAAATATTATTTAGAAATATTAAAAAAATCAAAAGTGAATCTGAATTATAATAGAAAAATTAAATAAAAATTTAAATTAATTTCATTCTTTTTCTTAATGAGCAAAAGAGATATAGGCCAAACAAATTTAAATAAAGAGGATTCTGAATATTTCTTTCGGCTATTAATAGGATAGAGTCGGAAGTAACAGAAAAAGTACGCGTCAAATAATATCGAAGGAGGCCAAGCTCAGCAATCATGTTTTCCTCAGGCTTAGGAGAAACTCAATATACCAATTGCAAGAGCAAATCGTGTTGATGACATGGACTAATAGGAGAGCGGCACGACCTGCATTAGGATTAAGAAAGAGTTGAATAGCTATCAAAGTTTAATATAACTTTTAAAAAATTAATATTTTAAAAATAATTTTACATAATTATTTAAAATATTTACCTTATAAAATTAATGATGTGAGATGTGATTCTAAAATTTTTCAGTCCTAAATTCTTTCTACCATATCAAGTCGGTCTAGTCTTAGGTAGGGATGTTTATCGAGCAAGTCGATCGCGAGTTGGATAATATTCGACTCGTGCTTGTTAAAAGTTTTGTTGTTCTACTCGACTCGTTGCTCGTTAAAATTGTGTTCGACTCGTGCTCGTTAAAAAAAATTTACTGCTCAACTCAACTCGTTGCTCGTTATACTCACGAAAAAATTTACCTTATTTTTTTAACTAAAAATAAAATTTACTAATACTATATGAAGATATTAGGGTTTGGTTTTTTTTATTAAAATAATATTGTTAATTATTAATATTTTATTATTTATTAAAAATAATATATTAGTTAACTTATTATTTTTTTATTAATAAATTAATATTATTATTTAGATTTATTTTTTGAATGAAATGATTTTGAAGTAATTACTAAAAAAATATTTTAAAAATTAATGAACTGCTTGCGAACTTATCGAGTCGAGTTAGACTTTGCTCGGCTCAGCTCGTTAAAGTCTCGAGTCGAGTTTGAATTCGAATCGAACGTTTACCAAATTATAACCGAATCGAATTCAAACTACTCACGAACTGATCAACAAGCACCCCTAGTGTTAGGCTGTTATTCAGTCATGTTCATCTTATAGTATATTTTATTTTACAATTCTAGCTGAGGTCCAACGTGGTAGCAAAATCACCGCAATGCAGTTGCATGGTTGACGCGTGGCTATAACTTTGATCGTGTCAACTTGAACATTTATGTTAATAAAGAAGGCTAATGATGTTGCTGTGAAATTAAAGGACGTGCATCTGATTTCAATCACCACAGTTTTGCAGCTAAAGCGTGATCGAGAAAGAGAATAATGCAAACCGTAAATGAGAAGATTAGCAACATGAGCAGTAGCGCCAAGGAGCATGTCAACATCGGCAAAGCCAAAGTTGAAGAAAAGGTAGCTTCCCTTTCAGTAATTTTTCACTTATTAGAAGAAACAGTAAGTTGTTATGTATTTGAATTGTCACAGCTGGAGAAAGCAGCGGCAACGACAGAAGAAGAGAAGAAGTTGGCACATGAACGTAAAAAGGCCAACGAAGCTCGAGCAAAGATGGAGTTGCATCAGGACAAGGTCAAGCACTTAGAGGAGAAATTGACAGCTAAACAACCCCAATATCTCCATGGCTATGGCTATGACCTTGACCATGATCCAGCACTTCAAACCGATCAAACCACGGCTCCTCCCTATCATCTTACGGCTCATCCCCCACTTCACAACCATTAATAAGGTTGTTCGCAAATATTAATAAGGTTGCCATTTGTACTCTTCCACGTTTATTTATAATGTAAATGTTTATTTCTCTTCTCATTGAAATGGCCTCAAACTCTTTCAAGCGACCTTTTTCTTTCAATCGACCTCCTACCTCCGTGCAGGGCCGTGGCTTGGTTTTTGGGTACTGTACAAATTCTTATAAAGGGGCCCTATTTTTTTAGATATATTCGATTTTGGGTAATAACGCAATAGATCCATCTATAGTGACGTTTTTAATAAAACCGCAACAATAGTGACGTTTTATTTTTGAAAAACGCCACTATAGATATACATTTTTTTGGTAGCGACGGCCCAGTCATAGCACTACCTCCGTGGTTAAGAGATAATAACCTCTTTCAAAAAACCTCGATGGTAAATTAAAGTATCGGTTTGAACTCTCTTTCAATCGACCTTAGTAATTAAAGGATAATAACTTCTTCCAAACGACCTCAGATAAATAAATTTGTTTTTATTTTTTGAGATATCGGGTTTAACACCGTACCGTATATATAAGGACATGAACATTCATTCGTTAAGAATCTTTAAAAATATGCTATTTTGTATTCATTTAGATTAAAAAAAACTGATCATTCAAAAAGCCACTTATACAGAATATGCCTTGCTCGAAGGAGCAATACTGTTTTTAAAGCTTAAACCAAAACTTTCTTTTCGAATCCACTCTTCGTACATGATACTGAGACAGTGAAATGAAGATTGTGAAATGAAGGTTGTTACCGCTACTACAGAGGTTAAAGAACAATGGGAAAAAATAGATTCAAAATAAGATAATTAGTATCACGCTTTTGATGTAAAGGCCAAACAAAGAATATACCAACAATCATATCCACTGTAATCTTCCTTGGTGCTCTACACACTGCTGCATTTTACCATCATGCGACATGACTTGGGTCTTCACATTGGCAGCTCTTGCACTATAGTTCATTTGGAACTTGGGGAATGGCTTCTGCTCATTTTCTGCATCAGTTGACGCTGATGTTTCAGGCGAAACTTCATCAAGGAACTCATCTGCTACATCTCCATCTTCATCCATCCTAAGACGCTTTGCATACCATTTTAGACCCTGTATCGAATAATAGATCCAAAATCTTAGCTATTAAGACCAACTCACAAAGAGATACTTGAACAGTATTTTCTAGTAAAGCTTAGGATGGAGACACCCAAGGCTATGGGGGGCAAGGCCACGTCAAAACAAGATTCACATAATTTTTATGCATCCAGCCTAACCTATCCTACATAATTCCTTTTAATCCTTGCTGAAAAATGATTGGCTTCTGCAACTCATTTACATGTCAGCATGTATAAATACAGTAATACACTTTCTAGAGTTTTCCTGTTAAGCACTTATGGTTTAGGCAGATGACCATAAAGAAAAGAAAAAGCTATGGAGACTAGCCCTCGTCTCCAAACACGGAGAATATCCTGACGGATATAAAAGTTGATCAATAGCTAGATAACAAGATGTTTCAGTAAGATTAAGGGAAACATTCAGATTTATTTAGTTGATCAATTATTACAGGAATATGAGGGGAACACAAAAGAATTAATCCGAAGTTCAAAGAAAAAGAGAAAGGATGCGTCTATTCCCAGATTTAAGTAGTTATTTTAAGGAAATAAAGAGATGAAAAAGGATAAAATTACAAAGGAATGATAGTGAAAATCACAAAAATAAGAATGTATTTCATGCAGTGAGCATCAAACATGAACTACATCTGGATCTTTGCGTATTTTCCATGAGCACAAGATACAATAATGTGAAGAACATGGATAACTGACCTGGACCTAGGAGGACTGTAACTCTCACAGCCTACTTTATATAACCAGTTCAATTAGGACTCAACTCCATCATAACTTACAACAGTAAACATGCATGTCAATTAATTTTATTGACACTTCACTGCAACAACGTTGGTTGGATACGCATGCTGAGGATTGCAGATAACACCGTCAGGCACATATCCCCAAAACGTAAAACAAGAAAAGCTCGTTCATCATCCTTGACTAATGGATTCTACAAAGTTAAGTAACAAAAAGCGACCATTACAAGAGTCCTGGAACATTCACTAAAAAATAACTTTAAACAAGAATAGTACGCGCATAACGCAAGAAAACTATCAGGAAGCTTGATAACTTATAGACCACATATAATATCAGCAGCAGACAATTTGAACAGAAACAAAAGTTTTATTCAGGGAAGTAACATCAATGAATGTCCAGAACAGATAGTTACAAGAAAGTGAGGATTACACGATGTAACTAACATGCGATCTAGGTTTGCGGATAAATCCGAGATTGGGGATATAGAGTTCACTTTTCAATTTCAGCACATTATTGTATGTGCTTATTCAGGAAGAAGATACCTGAGAAATGTCCTCTAGCACATAGGTCCAAAGGCATAAAAAATTCCATACACCCAATATACCAAGGAAGAAAGATGGTTGTAAAACTTTAAATGTCAGCTTACCTTAAGCTGTTTACAACCAAATTACAAAACTCAAAGTTACCTGTTCCCTGTGTAGGTTCATTGATTTGTGCTATCGTGTCTTAGTTCCAAACTAATAACCAATCACTTCGCATAAAATCACCTTAATGAGTTCTAATTCTGTTACCCAGAAGTCAAATCACAGCAAAAACTAACTACATTCAACATTATAACAATTGACAATACATCAAGAACGCATATCTTAAATTTTTTTACCTAAACACTAAAGATATATCAAAGAAATCGAGATGGACCTGGACACCACCGTCACAAGAATTGCAGGGGAGGAGGACAGGACCAGGATTGGGACGAGTCGCAGCGACCTGGACAGGAACGCTAAAGCCCCTTCGAGGAAGTCCAATGTCTTGGAAAACGCGACGGTTGCCGGGTGTTTGGTTATTGTTATTATTGTTGCGAGGGTCGTTTTCTTGGTCTTTCACTTCCTGGCCATCGTCTCTGGCAATCCCCAGAAGCCCCGCTATTCTTCTAAAGAATCGCATAATCAAAGATCAGATGTTATTCAATTACCGATCAGATGAACCCAGATAAACAAATCGAATTCAAAAGAAAAAATAAATCTTTAGTTCGAGGCAAAAGAGGGCTTGACAGTAATGTATGGCTCGGGTCTTGTTCGTAGTGGAGAGCAAGGTTGAGCACCGGAGACGAAGAGGAACGTAAAGAGGGGGAGGAGAAACGTTAATTTACATATATTCGGAAAAATTCGTAAGGTTAAACTGTCATTATGTAATTAGTTATTCAGTAAAGAATAATTGGATAAAAGTTAAAATATCCTTTAAGTTTTTGTATTCTACTATGTACTTTCATTTTTATTTTTAACTTTTAGATTTAAATTTAATTATGGGTAAAGTACACAAATAGTCCCTTGACTATAGGATGATACTTTGTTGAGTCTCTCCACTATTAAAAGTTACAAAATGATCATCTAACTATTTAGTATGTTTCAAACTGTCATTTCATGTTAAAAATTGACAACAGTCTGATCTAGATGTTAACTTGTTAACTGAAATATGATATTTTTTTAGATTCTGGGATGAAATTTTATCATATCTCAATTATCATGTTAACATTCAGCTCAAACTGTCGTTAATTTTTAACAAAAAATAATGAGTTTGGAACATATTAAATAGTTGGATGGTCGTTTTGTAACTTTTAATAGTCAGAGACTCAACAAAGCAATACCCTATAATCAAGTGACCATTTTATAATTTTTAATAGTCGAGAGACTTAACAAAGTATCACCTTATAATCAGAGGATCATTTATATACTTTACCCTTTAATTATTAACTTCACTAAAATTATGTTGTTAGATTAAGATTTATTACGATCTCATTTCAATTTTAAAGAATGTTTAAATTGATAGATTGTATTTTACGGACTAAAAATATTATTATAACATGTTTATTATAAACTCATAATTAAGTTATCTTATATAATTTACCATGAGTAAATTGAAGGGTAAACTACATAAATGGCCATTAAAATATATGTCATTTTCTCTTTTTAGTATTGAAGTGTCAAAAATAATGAAATGATCATTAATATTATCACTCTGTAATAAATCAATCATCCAACCGTTAATTGTCGTTACTATAGTGACAAAAGTTTAATGTAGTATGTTTGGACGGCTGAATTGGCACCATTTGATTTTGACCATGTTGGTTCCCTTTGACCAGATAATTTGATTATCACTAAAAACATAAAAAAAATTGTTTATTAATAGAAAATTTTAATTTTGAAAACCCTAATTTTTGAAGAAGAAAAGATAGAAGAAGATTAAAAAAATGGTCACGCTTAACTTCGAATGTTTCATATCCTAAGGAACAACTAAATAGGAATAAAGATAAAATCCCTTCTATATGAGCAATCTAGTCAGTGCAAAACAACAATAGACAGTAGTGTGAGTTATGCATCTGCAGCAGCAAATGTGGAAGCTTGAAGTCTGAAAATGCGAAAAATAAATAAATAAAATATTCTCTATGGTGTGAGAATTTATGGCAGTCATAACTCATTTGATTTATTCTGTAACATATAACTTAATTGCAAGCATTTTGCAAGACGCATCAATTGGTGGGTTACTTGCTCGTAGATTGAGAGTAATAATGCTACTTGTTTCTGCATATTTTTTATTTGCTCAAGTTTAGTTTGATGTTAAATTTTCGTACTTTTTAATTCATTTGAGGTGTTTTGGGTTTTGGACATCACATTACCACCACTTACACATTATAAAACTTTTTTAGTTTTACATAAATTAGGAATGTCGGATAAGTGTGATTGGATCCTCAAGCAAGATGCTTGCAGTTGCAGGTTCATTTTCATTCAAGTACCATGCATGATTCGATTGATGAGGCTCAAAAATGGAAGCTATCTCTACCTTAGAAACATAGGCTTCTCTAACTCTCCTCCAAATCTCCAACTTAAATTCTATTATCTCATTTTTACTTTTACATTTCTCCTGATTCTAATTGCATTGCAAATATTGCAACACAACCTTTAAATGGACAATTCCTCGTATAACTCTCTTTTTGTTTTTATTTTTGAATGATTTTGAGTATTCTTCGTTACTTCACATAGATTTAATTATTTTTTAGTGAGAGTCAAAATCGATGGTTAAAAAGGTGCCAATGTTGCCAAATGGTGCCAACTCATCCACCCAAACATGTCACATTGGATTTTTGTGAATACGATAACGATTGTTAACGGTTGGATCGATTTGTTATAAATAAAAAATATTAGTAATTGTTTTGTTATTTTTAAAACTTCAATTCTGAAAAGAGAAATATACTCATACTTTAGTGACCTATGTAGTTTACCCTAAATTGAATTTATTCAATTTTTTTCAAGTAAAAGATGGAAGTGTCCCTTGACCATTAAACCTCCGGATGACCATTAAACCTCCGGACATTTTCTGAAAACATTTCCCATTTCATCGGGATTTCTCTTCTTCACCGATGCTTTGATTACCAAACAAAAATTGAACGCTAGCGTTCTCTACTTCGCCAGATCCGGTCCCGCCACTGGTTTGAGCCACCCCCGGTAAAACCATTTCCCCTATTGATTTCACTTCATTTAATGTGGGACGAGATCCTCTGCATCGAAGATGCCGGTGGCCGCTTCAGCCATCTACTTCTTAAATCTCCGAGGAGATGTCCTCATCAATCGTCTCTATCGAGACGATGTCGGGTAGCTCTCTCCCTCTCTTTCCTCCCTTCAATTCCAGCTACTATGAACTTTTTATAAATGCAGTCAATTTCGCTGAGTTTAACGTGGATGCCTTCCGAGTCCACATTTACGAACTAAGGAACTCGGTACTTGTCCCGTGCGACAGATTGGAGGCTTCTCTTTCTTTTACACGAGAATTAGCAATGTGTACATCGTAATTGTTGTCAGCAGTAAGGCGAATATAGCTTGTGCTTTCAAATTTGTTGATGAGGTACTGTAGATTTCTTTTTCTTATGTTTCAGGTGATTAGATAATAGATATAGAAAAGATTATGCATGCTGTCATTGCTACTCCTTCTGCAGGCTGTTGCTTTGTTCAAATCTTACTTCGGTGGCACTTTTGATGAAGATGCTATTCGCAATAATTTTGTTCTGATTTACGAACTGTTGGATGGTATGTATTTAAATTTGAATGTTTCTCCTTCAGCCTGCATCCTCTTGCTCGGTTTATAGTTTCTTTAAATACTTTTTTTTTAGTTTAGTTCACTATGTTCTATAGCTGTGCTCAATTGTAAATGACTTAGGTAGTTGCATTTGATTCATAACTCCTGGTATTATGCAATGTAATAGTAAGCTCAGATTGACATTATTAATAGTGGTAGCAACTGAACTTGTTGACTCATCTGATCATTTGATCAACCATGGAATTGTAACAAATAGAGTTTATTTCTCTTAGATTGCATGCTAAGTTCTGTACCGTACATTTATAATGAGACATTTGTTCTGCTGAATGGAATTTGTGCGTGAGGAAAATCATTGGTTCAAAGGATCAAATGTTATTTGAATGAGTTAGTGATTGGTTGCTGATTAACATTGCAGAAATCATGGACTTTGGCTACCCGCAAAAATCTTTCTCCTGAAATTTTAAAGCTATACATTACTCAGGAAGGAGTGCGGTCTCCATTTTCATCCAAGGTAAGCTGTATTTTATGTATCATAGGTTATTGTATTTTAAGGATTGATGCATGTAGACCATACTTGCTTGGAAGAGGTAAGGTTAGTATTGTGCTTTAATATGTAGCAGTGCATTCTCATTTACCATTTTCATTTTTCTATATGCATTAAAACCGAATAGCCCTCAGATAAGCCTGTTCCAAATGCGACTTTACAAGTTACCGGTGCTGTTGGCTGGCGGAGAGAGGGGCTTGTTTATAAAAAGAACGAGGTGATCTAGCTTCTAAATTCTATTAAATTCCTTTCTATTGAATTTGGTGGTTTTGGTTTTAATATTTGTTGTTTCTGGTCACTGTGGAAAGTGTAAACCTACTTATGTCGTCAAAAGGTTGGTGCTTGTTTCAAAAATGTTCTTGATTGTCGATGTCTCTTTGGCTAAAAACAAACCATTTGGTGATTTTAGGCAGCGTTCTGCGTTGTGATGTTATGGGGAAGATTCTTATGAAGTGCTTCCTCTCTGGAGTGCCTGATCTGAAGTTGGGCTTGAGAAAAAATCACAGCTAAAATCCCATCCTGCTAAAAGGTTTCTTCTAATTGCATTTTTTTCTCATTCTATACTGCTCCATTTTATCGGATTGCCTATTTTCTAAAACTTTGCAACTTCTGTTTATATATTGCTCCCATTGCCATGGAGTCAAAATTTCCTGATATCAGTTTCAGAGCATGCAAATTCAGCTTTATTTCTCTCTTACAATGCACTATTTTGCAGTGGCAAGACTATTGAGCTGGACGATGATACTTTCCATCAGTGTGTGAATCTTACTAGATTCAACTCAGAAAAGACTGTTAGTTTTGTGCCACTAGATGGTGAATTTGAATTGATGAAGTCAGCTTTAGAAGTCTTCATCCTTATTTTACTCTGTAATTCAAGTTTGTGTTATTTAGCATGCAAGGTCAGTCGCACTGATGAGTGTTTTATATTGCATATATTTATTGTTATTTTGGGTTTATTTTGGACATGAGCTTTATTGGATTAATTAGTCCAAAAAGTAGCAGATTTCAATGGTCTAGTCAACATTAATTGGAATTTACCTAACATAAGGTTATCCATAAGATGAAACAGAATTCAACCAGAAGTACAAGACTTAAATATTTATTTTTATCTTTTGTGATAAACCTTTTAGATTTAGGATTTTTTAGTTTGATTATTCTATTATTATTTTATTTAGGAATTAGTTATTTTATTAGAATTCTTGGTAGGACTTTTAGTTTGATTAGGAATTAGTCATTCCGTTTTGTGAGGATTGAAAAGTGCTTCATACCTTCAGATATCTTTCTTGATTAGGAATTAGTCATACCTTGGCTTAAATGTTGTTTTGATTTACCGTTGGGGAGGAGAATCGGCTTGTAGCAAATTCAAATTCCTAAGAACAAACTTAGCGGCGGTCCGCTAAGGGAAATCAATATCGAGTTTGATTCTCATTGAGACGCATAATCCGTGCACGGGCTTTTCCAGCATTAAAGAAGATATTGGCGTTAACATCGATAGTCGAAGTTAAATCCAAACAAGAATTAAATTCCAAGGATTGATTTTGGAAATTAGTTCATAGGAGAGAATAGTAAGTTACAAGGGTTGGGCTTTGTAGACTGTAACCAGCAAGAATCCCGAAGTAAAATCTATTTCAAGGATCGAGATGAGTCAAGTCAAAGCGAAGCTAGAGGCTATCTCCTATCATTATTTCTTTCAATTACTTATTTTTATTGCTTTGTTATTTTTATTTAATTTTAGTTTATTCAATTAAATTCGATAAACCCCCTTTTTATTTTATTTTACAGATTTTCTGGTTAGAGATCAAATCAGATTTAATTGCAAATTTCTTAGTCTCTGTGGATCGACTCTATTTCTCTATACTATTCTATTTATTTTATTTTATTTATTTAAATTGAGAATTAAGTTTATTTATTTGACGATTATGACGCTTGTCACGCACCAAAGTTTGTTACTTCATATAACTATGAATGATAAAATTCTAGATTATCTATAGTTTGCTTCTTAGACTACTGAGCTGCGTTCGCTCTTTGCTCACTATGTTATTTTTAGAATGTTTTTTATCATAGAGCCACTTGAACCAAGTAATCCGGTTAGATTGTGAAAATGAATGCTTAATGGTGCAGAGCTCTATCTATACTCTTCTATATTGGTGCTGACTGTTCTCATTTACTATGTTTCATGCACTCTGAAACTGTTTTACATAGACTTGTTTCATGTTCTTGTTGGGTTGATGGACACATAGGTATCGTATCACTGAGGGTGTTAATCTTCCTTTCCGGGTATTGCCAACAATTAAGGAACTTGGTCGAACACGGATGGAAGTAAATGTTAAGATGTGTAATCATATAGAAACTGTCCATATCTGGAGATTCATGGTTCTGTTGTTGGCTTATTTTTATTAACATTTCAAGTTAAAAGTGCCTTTGGACAAAAATGTTTGCACTTGGAGTTGTCATCAAAATTCCTGTCCCAAATCAAACAGAGAAAACAAGCTTCCAAGTCACAACAGGTCGAGCAAAGTATAATGCTGCCACTGATGCCACTTCAATATTGAAAACCTGGCTGCCTGCTTTGTTCCCATTGTAAAAGAGAATTGGCCAAAAACGTTTTTGTGGGGTGCTGCAGCCCTAATCTCAAGCACCCATCTGTTTGGAAATTGCCCAATGAGTTTATCATCCTAGTATAGTTTTTATTCCGTTTGCGGTTTATATTTAGATTGATATTTGGTTAAGTAAAGAGGAGGGGGGGAACCCAGCCAAAACGGTTTTCAATTTTTCGATCTCAATTAAAGCTGGAAGTTGTGTACTCTTCTAATGTCCTTCAAAATCTATACATCAAATTCATCACATTGAATAGTAATGTATAAAATTTGGATCTTAACTTGGGGCCATTGAACTCGATGAAGACTGTGCATGTTGCTCTCCACTTTGAGTGAGGAAAAGTTATTGAAAAGCCTAAACGAAAAGAAATTAGAGATGTGGATATATTTAATTTAAGCAAATGGGCTTCTTGCATTGAAGTTTTATAATTTGAATTTGTACTTTAGCGGAGCAGTTGTTGTGAGAGTAGATAACTCATACAACACTTGAACTGAACTCCTTTTGATTTTTTTTCTCCAACACTCTTTCGCAATTTCAGTCGAATTACCATTTGATTCACATTTCACTTCTTCTCCCTTTTTAATTTTCCTATTTGATACTCAGAACAAACAGATATTCAAAAGAAAATTGGGTTTAGAAATGGAGTCGAGAGAAGTACAGGGTCAGGCGGCAATGGGGAGGGGATTACAGCTACAGGAAGCGCAATACATGGTAATAGGACCCACATCATCCTACCCTTCCAACTCCACCTTGATCAACTCTAATCCCACCGCTAATTTCCCTCCTCCTCCAGCTCATCGTTTCTCCTTCAACCCCTTAACTTCCCCGCCGTCGCATAATCAGCACCATTTACAACAGTTCCATCATCAAAACCAACAGCTACTCAAGCCGTTGGATTCTTTGAACTCCGTCGACTTTGATGGATCGCCTCAATTTCAGTACAATACGGAACACGCCATGAAAAAGAAGCGAGGTAGGCCTAGGAAATATGCTCCCGATGGTAACATTGCTTTACAATTGGCACCCACCACCCCAGTTGCTAACCACTCCCCCAATCACGGTGGTAGTGACTCTGTCGGTTTAGAAAGTGTTGGTGATGCGGTGGAACAGCCTCCTAAAAGGAATCGCGGAAGGCCGCCCGGTTCTGGAAAAAGACAGATCGATGCATTAGGTAATTAAGAGTTGAATTGTAAACGTTAATAGTTTTTTTCCCCTTTTTAATCATAATTTTATATTTAAATTTTGTGGATTTTTTCCCTTTGAATAGGTGGTGTTTCAGGGGTGGGATTTACTCCTCATGTGATCACCGTGAACGCAGGAGAGGTGAGTAATACATAAACTCATAGTGATTGGTGTTTTAGATGGAATTTGGGAAATATCATGTTTCTTAGGGCAGGCTTGACAATGTATGAAGTTTTCTTTGCCTTAATGGATTTATAATTGGGATTATTAGTTTTTCTTATATTGAGTCTTCAAATGTTTTAAGCTGCCATGGAAGAATAGTTGCATCCTTTTGTGATACAACTGAAATTATGGATATGTAAAATATTGCATAAAAGCAACTTCATCCTGTAATTGCTAAGCAGAGCACCTTGAAGTAATTCAGATTGATTTCAGTGTCTGCACTCTGCACACTCTAAATACTGAGTTGGGAAATACAAATTGTGTAGATCATGTCGATCCTTGCTCAAGTCATGATATATTTATCCTTATATGTGTTCTTTCAAAAATTCATTGATGGAGATACTCCTCTGTTTATCTGCCGTGAATAGTATCGCCTGCCAATATACAACTATACTTTTCTCTTTGCACATGTTCTGGATGCTCATGTTTGTAATTCTTGAACATTAGTTTATTATGTGCCTTATTGTGTGACCTTTACTTTTGCAGGATGTAGCATCAAAGATTACGGCCTTTTCACAGCAAGGACCGCGCGCAGTCTGTATTCTCTCTGCAAATGGTGCTGTCTGTAATGTTACACTCCGCCAGTCTGGTGGTATGGTAAAATATGAGGTACTTTTTTGATCAATTCATCTGATAAAATAAGCCTTTTCTTTAATAAAATCCTCTGGCTCAGGACCTTGGCTTAGGTAGGTGTAGGACTGCTTCCATGTTTCCAGGGCTGCTGAAGTATAAACTTTCTGGACTTTTCTTTAATATAAAATGGCATTTCCTGTCTCTCTATGTTTGACTTAGTGTGTATGTATGTGTGATCAATAAGCACACACATCTGTTTGTGTCGTTCTTCTTTTATAGAATAATTAATGTATTTTTACATTTGTTAAATGCATTTTAATTTAACGTATTATAAGTCTCTTCTAGCATGTTAGTATCTGGAAGCAAATGAATTAGTCCAAGGGAAAAAAATGTAACTTATAGTGTGATTATTTTATGTGGATATGGATCTGCTTAGACAATGCTGCTCATATCTTATGTGTTTTTGGCTTAGTGAAGAACAATGTCAAAATGAGTTTGGTGATTGTTGATTGTGAGACTACTTTTAGTTTGGAAGTTGTGAGGAAGATCCCTAGATCAAATTTCATCAGTGAAAAGAAAAAAAAATAACTTATTAAGTCAGCTTTTGGAAGGATTCTTATTGCGGATGCCCTCTTGTTGATAAAGGTGTATTTTTGTGTTTTTATTGCTAGTTGGCTCTTTTGATTTGTAGCTGTGTTAGATGAACTTGTTCTTCTAAATTATTAGGCTTAGAGCTAACATTTCATTTCAGGTAAAAAGGGTACCATTACTACCGCTTTAATGACAGCAACAATAGCGGTCTTACAAAAAATAAAATAGCTGCCACCTTGTGGAGGAAAGCTAACAAACCATAGAAGAAGATGTGAGAAGTATGCCAGTATGCCTAAAGCGCATGCACTGCATGTAATTACATGGTGTAAAACTGTACACTGGAAATCTGTATACCAGAAAACAACACACAAACCCATATGAGGCGGTCTTGATTCACTCATCTCATATGTAACCGTCCTCCATTTATACTAGCTAGTAAAATAAGGTTAATTTGAGACAGGGTATAGGTAAGTGCATATGTGAGAATGAGATCAAGGGAGAAGTTAAACTTAGATGATTGGCATGTATAGGTTGTTGAGGTGAACTGAAAAATACAAATTGAAGTAGGCTAATAGAGCTAGCTATATGCAATCATGAGTTGTCAGTACTTTTTAGCTCCATTGGTTTTACCACTTTAGCTTACTTTATGAAATCTGAAATCTCTGGCATTACATTAGCTAGCAGTACCAAATGACGCGCATTAAAGCTAAAATCTCAGCATTACATGACTATAGTCACATGAAATGTTTGTCAAACCAAAATGGTCCTGCAGTTCTAGCAGTTTAAATTAGAATTACTTTGTCAATTATGCAACAATTTAGTTATGGATATATTTTTTTTTAAATTGCAGGGCCGATTTGAAATTATTTCTTTATCAGGTTCGTTTTTGGTTTCTGAAAATAATGGTAGTTGCAGCAGGAGTGGCGGATTAAATATCTCCTTGGCTGGGTCTGATGGTCAAGTAGTAGGTGGTGGAGTTGCAGGCACACTACAGGCAGCAACACCAGTTCAGGTATTTTTGTTACTTATTTTGTATTCGTAATTGCCAGGTTCATGTCTAATTATTAATTCTCATAAGCTGCATTCACGTCTGACAAGCAGTTTGGGTTGGAAGCTTGATTCTGTTTAAATATTTGCCATCAAGGGAGTCTCTTCTCCTGGCATGACATCAATGTATTTCGTTCTTGTTTTATGACTTTTCCATCTCCTGCCAGATCATTGTCGGCAGCTTTATTGCAGATGGGAAAAAACAGAACTTGGATGTTTTGAGAACTGGACCTTCTTACATACCAACATCGAATTTGCAAACCTTCGGGGCTCCAGGGACAGCAGGTAGCTCTCCTTCACATGCTGGCTCAAGTAAGTCTTCTGATGAAAACGGCGGTAGCCCTCTTAATGGAGGGTCTGGTTTTCATAATAACTTGGCTCCTCCATCTATGCATGATAACAATATGCAAATGCAAATGAACTCACTTTGGCCCGGCCACACTAAACAATGAGGATGCCGTTTTCTGAATTACCAGTTGAGCAGTTTGGGCTTGGGCATCGACTCAGTGAATGTTCTTGCATAACACTTAGTTGTCAAATTGCGAGAGAATCATTTTTTCTTCTTAGATCCAGGGTTTTTCTTGATTGTGGTGTAGGTTTCAAGTTTTGTTCAGGTCATTGAAAAATGACTGTTTTTGATAGCAGAAGAACGTTTGCAGCTATTTCTTAGACTCTACTGGATTGGAGCTTATTAGGTTTCAGATGTTTAAGGTTTTGAATATGATAGGAGTCCTCTCTTAGTTTTCAGTGGGTTGTTGCATCCTTCTCTAACATGAAAAATTTATTTCTCTTGCAATTCGCTAAAAACCCATTTTCACATACTTCATAGTTGGCCCAATTGTTGGTATGTTTTATTCCCCCCAAACTTGGACTTATGAAATTCTGTCACCCCTTTGGGTTCCTGACCATTATTTTAAATCCAAGTAATATCCGTTTATAATCTTTCTTAATCATTGACAATGCACATACATTCTATAAATACAATTGTTTAAATTCAAAACCTCAAAGAATAACAACATTTTTTAACCATTGAGTAGCTTCAATGAGTTTAGTTAATTATTCATTTTAATCACAAATGTTGTATTATAATGGTATTAATTATAAATGGTAGTTCCCTTTTGGTTATTTAATATGATTTCATTCTCTTATATTAAATTAGTTTATCTCAAATGGATTCAGTGGCTAACATAATTGCTAATTACTTTTTAGTCAATGGTAATCATGATGTGCTTAGGAACTTAGAAAAAGGACTGTTGATAAGTTCTTAGGACAGCATCATTTCTTAGGATTTCAATCTTCAAATTCATTTTCATGTCTTGGTTTGGATGAAGATTGACATTATATTTTTATGTATATATTAATAATAATGATTTAGATTTGGTAATTACTATTTGTTATTTTATTTATGCATTTTTAGCACCATTAATCAAAGTTGTTCAACAAAACAAGGATCACTGTCGTTTGGTAATAAAATTAAATAAATAGCACAACATCAAAGTTCTTGGAAATTATTAAGGTCGTTAGCCTTAATCAAACAAGGGGGAGTTTTCTTGTTAGAATAAAAAAGGTGGACTACATTTTATCATCTACTTACGCGGCAACTTAGAATAAAACTTTGCAAAACACATTAATGAGTTGGCCATCTCTTGTTAATTTCCTTGATAATAAAGGTTGCACCACAATTTTTTTGTCCTTCAAGTTTTCAAGATTTCGCCCTTATTAATCCGGCCTAACCCGAGTCAAACACTTGACTTTGGTGAATGAGTCTCCTAGTGGAAATTTTCTGCATATACAAAGGACTTAAACTTGAGACATGTTTAAATGATATCAAGCTGCTTACCACTTGAATCAATCTCGTTGATAAGGTTGCACCACATTTAAACTTTTTTTTTGTATTTTTAATATAATTATTTTTTTTACTCAAATCATAATATTGGCATATTGGTATCAGGGGAATCTTGAGAAATCACGATGTGGATATACTCAAAGTTTTCCTGGTCAACAACCTAGCTGATCCGGCCAATATTCGGTTCAGTTTAGTTCAGTTTTTGTTTAGTTCAAATTTTTAATAAAAGATGAATTAAATCTCAAATTATGATTTTTTAAAAATTGAAATTGAATGGCATAAAAATTACGGCTTTCAGTCCGATACAATTTTACGTTTTTACTGTTCATTGTTTTTCAAACAAAACATCCAAAGAATAAACTTAAAGCTTAAATTTAGTGCTAATATACATTATTATATTAATAAAAAATATTATTAATTTTAATATTTTATTTATTTAAGTTTTTCTTATAATAAATTCAAAATAAATTTATTTTAGATAATTATTTTCTTTTTTTATTTAATTTGATTTAAAACAAACGGTTTTCATATGGACAAATCGAAACCAAACTGAAATGTAAAATTATATTTTTAAATTGAATCAAAATGATCCACAAAACAAAAAATCTGAGCTGAATCAAACTACATAACTTGATTGGTATCAATTTTTTAATTTTGTCGATTTAATTGCTCAACCCTACTAGTCAATGGTAGAGAGTATTTGAACATATACTACAAGTAACACATATTTTACTTTTTGCACCTATAAATAAGCCAAGTCGGGTGAACTTATTGCTGAATGAGATTGTTGTAATGTTGTATCCCGGATTGCCGAGTCATTCAATGCTCTTCATACTTTTAAGGACGTCATTAATGCTTTTACTAATCTTGATTGGCTAATGTGCTTTTTTGACAGTGTTGTGTGTTTTAAGGTTTCTGCAGGGAATCCAGCATTGGTTGTAAGCCTTTCTTTTCCTGGTATCGTTTCTCTTACCAGATATAATGCTACTATATCTTGTTCTTCTCCTGATTACTACTGGCTTTCTAATTCGGTGATGGAGGTTGTCCAACATGTCGATTGACAAAGTCATGAAGCCCCTTCGTTGCCACTCTAGCAGGATTGAAGCCACCAATGAAAGTAAAGATTACTTTGAAATCTGATTTTTTTATTATTTATTTATTAATATGTGTGTTTACTTTAAAAATATATATAGTGTGTCCATTTGTTTTTCAAATAAAAAAAACAATTGATGGCAAGTTGTTACATTTTCTCATAATAAGGTACAAAAAAATATGTATATATAAAAAGAGGGACAAAGTTGGATATTGTGCATATACCAATATATATATATCAATGTTTGTATTTAGTTGAATAATCCATCATTATATTATATGCAGCTAAATATCTAACTATAGTGGATAAGTTACATAATTCTTTCTTATTTATAACAATATAAACATCATTATATGTTTGTATGGACAAGCTTTAACAAAATTAGAGCATTAGCATTCAGTCCAACATCAAGTATGCATGTATTTAAATTACAATAAAAATGTATTTTCCCTTAATCCAACATTGTTTAATAATTACAATGGAAAATAAGAAGATAATTTTAATTATTTATTTCAACTCATACGATTTTAAAAAGATGTAAAATTAAATACATTAAGTGTAAGTGGATCTTTATTGCTCAATAAATTAGTAGTGATATAAAATAATAAACTTGCAATCTGTTGGTTCAAAACAAAATGTTGGAGGCATATGCAATGAAGATATGGCGCAAGGAATTGATGGGAAGCAAAGTGGAGATAAGAATAAATTCATTAAAAGTCAGTCCACTATTGAAAGAATACCTAACATGAGATTAAACAGACCAATGAAGACGATGAAGAAGAGATTGTCATCGTAAGCAAGAAAGGAGGAATCAGCATCAAACACCACCATTATTTTATAAAAATTTTAGCTTCTCCATGCCCTACTCATGCCATATAATATACACATCATCATATGCCTGTTAATGTATATAACATTTCTTGTGAAGAAATCAAATTATCAGAAACAAAGATTAATGGAGTCTGAATAGACATGCCACAAAATACAGATTTGTTGCCGACCCTTTGTTCAACATACACAATTCACCTACAAGCTAGCTTGTTTTCTAACTGATTAGTGATATGTTTTGGAAGAGATGAATGTGATGTAATAGAAAAATAGAAGGGGTTGATATTTCCAAGGGAGCTAAGTGAACATGAATGCAAAAGCAAAACTCGTGTTGGGAGAAACAAGATGAAGCATTGGCTCTTAATTACTACTACTGTTTCATTTATGATGTCCTGAAAACAATGCAAAACTTTGGAATGGCCTCTTGGGGATGAAAAAGATTGATGTGTGATGGAAATTAAAGAAGGGAATTGAAACCCTAGTTGATATGTTACTAACACTGAAAACTCAGTGACTCATATTATCCAACAATAGTTAATTAATGATACATCATCAAACCATGAACATGAGAAATGACTATTCCCAGAAACCATAGATTCCAAAATCCGAAGAAATTAAAAAAAAAAAAGTAAAAACAAAGATCAAGAACTAACATCAACATCCTAGGAAATGGAAGAAAGAAGTGGAAGGTATGATGATGATTGTAATTAGTCCATGAATTTCCTGACCTTTTATGATCCAAGAATCCAGATTTTATCACCAATGGAAACTGCTTTTTGAAACAGTGCTTGAATTTTTAATCCGAAGCTTCCCATTTTGACTCAAAACGGAGGCCTACCACCACCACCTGATGAGTTTCCGGGCCATCCTTCAACGGGTAACTGGACATTAGGCGGCAGATTGAGAGGCAAATTCAAGAAAGGTAACCCTCCAGCGCCGGCTCCAGCATCTACAAACATGTTATTCCCACCACCGCTTTCGCCGCCGCCGCTGTTTTGCATCTGCAGCTGGTCATCCTCTTCTAAAGGCAGCCTTTCGTAGGCCACATTTTTGAACGATGCAGCTATGACAATAACAGGTCCAGCCGTCATCAGTTCACCGACTACACTCCCTCCTACAACCTGGCCTTGCCCGCCAGCCAAATAGATTGTCAGGCTAGTGGCACCCGGCGGAGCTGGTGGTGGCAAAAACGAACCCGAAAGCGATAGTATCTCGAATCTACCGTGAAGGGTAACTACAGCTCCAGCCGCGGATGGTTGCCTAATGCTCACGTTGGTCACCGTTCCACTCCCACTGAGTATACAAATTCCTCTTTGCCTTCTCCGAGCGTAGTTGGCGACACAGTCGAACACATCACAGCCATTCCCAACTTCAAGAATGTGAGCTCGGAGCGTGTTTGCACTCTCTCTGGTAATGATGATAGGAGGCTTGGGTTTGTTCTTGGAACCAGCAGGACGACCTCTGGGCCTACGGGCAACGAGGTCACCCGAACCCGAGTTGCCGGCGTTGACTAAATCCAGCCCTTGATGAGAGCCTTCGTCTTGGTGGTGGTCAGCCGAGCCATAGTGAGCACCAACACGGTTGTTTGAAGCTTCTTGTTCATCGGGTTCAGGTTGGTGTTGGAGATGAAGGTCGGGTCTGTGAATCTGATGGAAGTAGCGAGAAGCAGTGCCTAGATCAAGACCAGCCATGCCAGTATCAAACGACAACAGAAAACAAGGGAAAACAAAAGATTAAAAATAAAAAAAATCTCTTTTTTTTAAAAAAAGAGAGAATAAATTATGGGTTTTGGATTAAAAACAATTGAAGGGGGGATTTGTTTAATTTAAGGAGAAGTAAACAAAGGGATTAGAATAGGTATAGCGATAAAGATGAAATTTTCTATTATTTGTATAAGAAACTAAAAACAATAAACAAAGGGGAGAGGGAAGGGAAAGATGAAGGAGATGATATGATGATGATGGAGATGGAGATGATAATCTCAAAACAACGCATCCATCTCAAATCTTAAAACCTATACATATAATAATACGCTTCAGAATTTCTTCTTTTTCTTTATTGTTCTACAGCACATGCCAACCCTACTCTCAGTTTTTGGTGCGTGTATTTGCATCATCCATTTTATTTATATACAATTCCTTTTTAAAATTTATTTTTATACTTATAAGTTTATACATTATTCCTGATTTAATACTAAGATTTCAAATTGATTATTATCATTTTTAAGACTTGATTCTTTTTTTAATCGTTAGTTAATTTTCTTTGTTATCTTTATAATTGATGGTAACATTAGTTTTATTGTTAATTATCAATCGTCGGTATTTATTATTTTTTTATAGTTTATTATATTGTATCATTATTTTTCTTGTTTTTCAAATTTTAACAATTTTATCTTTATGGCATGTTTTCCTTTTTTCTTTGCACGTTTTCGATCGTTTGATCGTTATTTTTGTTTATCATTTTTTAGAAATAGTTTTGGCATCGCCATGATTGATCGAGATTGCTTTTATTTGTTATCATGTTGATATTTTGTATTTTTGACCATCGAATTGAATTTGGATAAACAATATTTGTTTGTGGATAATTTTCTCACATTACTCAATTCTGATTTATAATTTATTGATGGTCTTTCAATATTTTAATCTTCTTTAATGTTCGTTTACCGGTGCGATCAATTTTGATTTGCGTTCGTTTACTTATGCAATTTATAATAATTCATTTATTTTAAAATTCAATTCGTATTATTGAATTAATTAAATTCATTCCTTTTATTACTAAAATTTCTTGTCACACAATGTAAAATTCTTTTAGTGAAAATATATGGAAGAGATTAACAGTAAGAATTGATAATATATTTATTGGAGAAAGAAAAAGCAAAGGATTTTTTTAACTTTGTTTGTTAAAAATAATGCATTTAAATAAAGGGATTTTTTAATTAAGAATTAATTTTTTAGTCATTGAAATTAAAAATATATATTTTTATATAATAAATCACGTCATGTTGTTAAATGTAAAGGTGTGTATTTGATTGAGTTGATTTGAATAAAAAAATTGAATTATTCAAGTTCACGAGTTATATTTTATAACTCAAATTTTATTTAATTTTTTTAGTCGAGTCGATTTTATGAAATTCGATTTCAAATTTTATTTTATAATTTAATCCGAATTTAAATTTTTTAATCAAATCAAATTAAAAAATTAATTTTTATTAATCGAGTTGAATTTACTCACCTTGTTAAATGCATAAATTGTTGTCCCTAACGCACGAGGAAGAAGGGTGAGTGACGGTTGTTTTCTTCTTCGAATGATAAAAACATTGGAGCAAATGAAGAATTGCTTCCGATTTTCTAGAAGTTGGTAATGAGTTTTGAACATCATTTCTAAGAAATTATCATGTTTTATTAATTTATATGTTTACAAAATTAACTGAAAAAATAAGTATTTATATTATACAATTTCAAGTTTTTTTGTTTGTTAAAATAGATATGTATCGATAGTGTTACAATCATATTAAGATCAATTATTGTAAGTATATTAATAATTTCATTGGCCAATAAAAAACATGACATGTAATATTTAATTGAAAAAGACGATCAACGTTCAACTCAGACGATCGTCAACTTTTTAATTGAAAAAGATGAGTTTAGAACATAATAAATAATTATGTGATTATTTTATAACTTTTAAAGGTCGAATAACCTAATAAAACAACTCTATACAATTGAAGATCATTTTATAAATTTTAATAATTAAAAATTTTAATAAAAATAATATTTTATAATTAATTATTATTTTATACTTTTTAATAATCGATAATTAATAAAATCGGCAAATGGGAAATTTGCAGCGGCGGTTGGGTCCCAGTCATATGTCGTGTGCTTCCCTGGGTTCTCCTCGTTGTAGGCGTCACCGCCCTTTGTAGCGGCAATTTTGTTCCCTATGTAAGTAAGTACAAGAGGCACCTTGAAAATCAGAAAATGAAAGCCTAACCAATCGCCAGGATTCCTTTCGCATGCATTTTAGTGCTGCTCTGACTAACCAAAATTAGGTATTTTCCATGGCATTTTATTATTGGCTTATCCACACTTATTTTTTTTAATTCAACTTTTAATTCAAACAATCACTACAAAAATTAAAGAATCACGTATTATTTAGACAATTGAAAATGAATTATTTTTTTTCTTAAATCCTTTTTATCGGGGTAAATTTTTAGATAATGCAAAATTAATAAGTTTAATTTATTGTTTACACAATTGAAAATGAATTAGTTTTTATCTTAATTTTTTTATTTTTCAAAATTAATAAATTTAATTGAGTATTAATATCAACGACCTCAGAGTTAGAGAATCACGTATTGTTTACACAATTGAAAATGAATTAATTTTTTAAAATGTATTTTTATTGGTCAAAATTAATAAATTTAACTGACTGTTTGCATCAATGATCTAAAAATTAAAGAATTACGTATTAAATTAATTAGTTTTTTATTAAAATTTTATTGATCTAAATTAATAAATTTAACTAATTGACAGTATCAACGTCCTAAAAAATAGAGAATTATATATTCTTTACACAACTAAAAATAAATTATTTTTTTCTTAAATTATTTTTATTAGTCAAACTTAATAACTCTTAACTCTCGAACTAAAAATTAATTGTAGTCTCTTTCACCTATTTTTGTTTTTCTTTATTTTTTTATTTATTTTTATCTTTTTAAAATGTATTTTTGCATACATGATATTTTAATTTATATTATATAATTTATTTTACAGATGAGATTTTTTTTATTAATTAATTTTTTATTAAAACGATAATTAATGTTTATGATCTTGTAGCACATTTTAATCTTACTTAAAAAATAGAATTAGATTTGTTATCTCTCTTCACTCAATTGTTATTAGATTATCTCGTCGATATACCCTTATTTTAGATCTTCAATTTGATTCTTTCATCTTGATAAATTTTCAAATATATTGTACTTGAGTTATAATAAAATTAATTATTAACGTACTATCATATTCTATTATTATATTAGTATTGATTGTGATTGTTCATTACCAGAAAGAATATTTTTAAAATATTTTATTTATTTGAATTGTTATAATTTCGTCTTTCAAATAAAATAATTAAATTTATTTATTTTTCTCTCAAAACCTATTTTTTACTATCTAATTGACCGTTACTGTTTACCACTGTTATAATTATTATGAAGGATAACCAAGCAATATTGGCGATATATTAAATTCTTAATTAATAATCTTAAACGGTCCCAAAAAATAAAAATAAAAACATTATCTATATTAGGGAAAATATTTCCATGCAATTTGACATAATGAAATACGATAACGGTAACCAACAAAGTTTTAATTAAATGTTAGATGTACATGTGTGATCAACGATGCAAATACAAAAATAGTTTAAATTAATGAATTTGTGACAATCTTAATAAAACATTTCATTTTGTATACATTTTATGTTTTAACAACTTTATTAATCGTAGGATTTGATTTCATATATATAATATATATTTACTGAACAAAAAATGAATCAATTATATGGGATATAAGTCAATGAACATTATTTTATATATTTATAGCACATAGACATATACATTGCCATTGGAATTGTTCACGATTAGAACTGCGACTTTCTTCCTTTTTTAATAGAAAAATAGAACTAATCAAAAAATAATAATAATAGAAAAACATAAATATTTCTTCTAATCATAAAGTTCATCCACGCGACTTGGGAGCCAAAACAAGTACTAATATTTTTTAATGTTTATTTTGTAATTTAAATATAGTGTTTTTTTTAAATATTTTATATATTTAATTTTACAATATATGAATATAACATCTTTTATTTTTACTTCAAAAGTTATAATAAAAAGTTGTTACTTTGTTTAGTTGAGTTTTAAATCATTTCTTGTGTGGTCTTTTTTTTATTGTTAGGTGTTATTTTATACACTTTAATAATAATTAGATGTGCATACATATGAATAAAGTTCTAACAATATATACTAATTAATATTAAAAAATATTAGAATGTATATAAAATCACGTCAATAATAAATTATAAATTATTATTTTTCAATAATAAATTATAATTTATTATTCTATGTTAATTACAAGTTAAATTGATATAATTATGCTATTCAAAAAAATTGATATAATTGTATACCAAGTAATATTAATAATTAACATCAACTTTCAAATGCCTTTATTTTTTTTTTGTTGCTCTCCCGGTTCTAAGGTTCCATCTTGGTTAATCCGGACTGATCCACGTCACACACCTGGCTTTGGTGGGTGAGTCTCCCAACATGGATTTTCTGCATACACAAGAACTCAAACTCGAAACTTTGCTTAAGCGATATTAAGTTGCTTACCACTTGAATCTCATGTTGGTCAAATGCCTTTGTTAGTAAAGTTAAAGGTAATTGCAAATGAAAGCCCAAAAGACTATCCCAACATGAGAGATTTAGAATTTATTGCATATGTTCATAGTTTCACTTGACCGTACTTACCGAGCTTCAAATTAAAAACATGCAAGTCAACCACTGATTAGAAAAACAAAAGAACTAAATGTCTTAATTTGAAGCAAAAAGTACATTTTGATTTTCTAAAACCAAAGAAAAACTAAAGTTTTCATATTCAAACCCACCGAGTTATTTGGTGGCTTTGAAATTTACCAATGTGAAATCTTTTACTTTAATATATGAATTACCTTTATGCAGTTGCCAAAGAAAAACTAAAGTTTTCATATTCAAACCCACCAGGTTATTTGGTGGCTTTGAAATTTACCAATGTGAAATCTTTTACTTTAATATATGAATTACCTTTATGCAGTT